GCCCCGCCGCCGGCCCCGCCCCCGCCCGCCCGCCGCAGCTCCCTGGCGCAGGGAGACGGCCTTCCGGAAAGGGTGATCGCCCAGTGGTAACTTTAGATTCTCGTGCAGAACAACAGTATCTTGGGATCCTTTAAGTAACAGACTTTACTTGTATCGATTCAGCATCTGATCACTGCATTACTTATGTATTAAATAACTCAGGTAACAAATTCGCAACACATTTTAAAATCCTGTGTGTTAACATTTACTGGATGACTCAAGTCCTTGGTGTGCTGACACTTTTTAAAAGAGATAATTAAAGACGACTAAGAAATAATTAAATAGCTAGCAGGGAAAAAGAACAATTTAGAAACTCACCATAAATATATGTCTCACAGAGAACTTTAAAGCCTTTAGAGAACTCTATTATGCTAACTTGAAAAAAAGAGTCTCAGTGACAATTTGCTGATGTAGTCGGTTTATTCTCTTAAATATGGAGATTTATATGAACTCTTTGCAGAGGTTCCTATGATGCTTTAGGTTTAATAAAGACTTTAAAACTATAAATTCTAAAAAGCTTAGTCCTGGTAGCTGATCCGATTATACGCATAGAAGATGATTATATTATCCAAAGTTTGGCATTACTCAATTTGGAGGACTCTGTTTAAGGAAAAAAAATTACGGATACACAGCTGAGTACAAAGTGAGTATTTATTTAGGCAGAGACAAAACAACAAATTATAAATTTGAAAAAGAGGGAAGTCACAACACATTACAAGCCTCACAAAAGCCGCAAAACTAACCTACTGGCTACACCTCTGTGACACTTTCCCCACGACTGGCCACCTGTTCAATCTGCCCTTTAATGTGGTTGATGAAAATTTGTTTTTTATTAGTGATAATTTTGAAAAGTTTATTTCATCTTCACAACTTGCTATATGTAATGTCATGTAAAGTTTTAGGATTGTTGTCAAACTGAGGAGAACCTCTCTTTCATACATGGGCTGTGAAGTTTCAAGGAACTGCAAGTTTTCTTGTGGAGCAACTAACCCTAAACACGTCCACATTTCCTGGCCCCTAGGGCCACAGGACACATCGGTTTCTGCTGCAACGTGCTCCTCAAGTTCTTCTCTTCTGTGTCCCCAGAAACAGTGTTTAGAGATGCTGTCCCTGCATCAGGGATGGTTAGCATTATCTTTACTACATACAGAATTGACCGTAAGCAGATAATTAAATGTGTTCCCAGCTCAGCTTTGATGTGGGTGAAGGGGAAGAATCTTATGAGAAGAGCGCCAAGGAGAGGTTTCCAGCCCTCTCTGCCTTTGGATAGGCCGGTGGGTCTTACAGACCTACCCCGTCAGGTCTGACTTCCAAGGCGCGGTGTCTGGGATGAGGGAAGAGGGGTGTGAAAGCGGAAGACAGCTCAACAGTTTCCCTCTGGCAACACAACCACTTAAAGCTATTTTAAAAAAAGGCTATTCTCTGACTTCCCAGAAACAATACCCCGCAGGCCCCGTCCCACCAGCATGCTCAGTACACCAGTTCAGTCCTGTTAGAGTAGAATTAAAACCAGAAAATGCCCCAGAAATAGAAAGATAAGAGTCCCCAGTGGAGGCAGGTTTCTCCAGGGGGTAATTGACTGAACACAACCAATTCTCTGGTGGATCAATGGCCATCATCTGCTGGAAGAGCTTTGCTAAAAGCAGCGCCCCAGAGCTGCCAGACAGGAAACGGGCACTCCGACCTGTCCTGGACGGGAGATGAAGCTGGCAGTTTAGACTCCTGAAAAACAGTTTGAGATAAGCTTGCAGTTCCACAGAAATTAATCCATGCCTCTAGACAGCACATAAGCCTATTGGAAAGCTTCTTCAGTTCAAGCAGTTAATAATACATCAAGTCTTGTAGCTTAAGGGATACAATTTTCAAAATTATTGTACTAAGGGAATCATAAATTCCACCAAGACGAAGGTTGTAGTCCAGATATTTTATTTTAGATTTCCATCCGGGGTGTACTATGCCACTCCACATGAAAGTCAAATTGTCCCTGTAAAATGGCTTCCAGGTGATAAGTTTACCCCGAGGACTCCAGTAAAGTCATGCATTCAGAGTTATATCTGACTTTCACAATCTATAAAGACGAGTTATCAATGTTTTAAAGATTTGATAAGCAGGAGCAAAAACATGGCTTCTAGATGCTGGCATTTGTCTCACTAATGGGAGCAGCATGAGAAGCAGCAGCTCCTGCCGGATTTGGCTGCAAGCACACCGCTGACGTGTGTTTGGAAGCTGCCTTTTGGCGCCGGTGGGAGTGTATTTGTCTAACCTTGCGCTGACTCTAACAGACACAGGCAGCAGTGATGTCACTGTCAGCCACATTCAGCTTTTTAAAACAGGGGCGCCCTCTCTGCCAAGGCCTGTCAGGTTCCGGACCACTGCATATTAAAAACTGTGTTCCAGCAGCACCGTCTGGCCTAGGGGATGTTTTATTAGGAAATGATTCTGTCGTTTTTTGGGGGGGGAGGGAAAGAATGCATTTCACCCAATAGAATTCAAAGGAATAATTGCTGTTTCTTCCCTCCCCAGAGCAGGGACACCGTGGACTTCTCCAGTGTCTCGCGTGGGACACCACAACCCCACTTGGTGAGGACAGAACTAACAGACGTGTTAGGAAGAGGCAGGAGGCTGAGTTATAATTAATCTCCAGTTTGAGCGTTGCCTGTCATTGCATCCTTCCTGCAAGGCAATATTTTCATAAGTTGCTCCCTTGTCACCAGGGAAAAATAATTAGATTCTTTTTTTTTTTTCAGAAAGATAAGGTGGGTAGGTCCCCTGCAGACACTTATAAAACAATAATAGTAACAACAAAGGCCTCCCTTGCTTGGCTTGGGTTCCCGGGAGGAGGCTCACTGTCCACACTGTGGAAGAAATGCCTTGAGCATCATCACTTGAGCTCATGGGACGAAAGACAAGGACTGGCTGCACTGCTCCTCCATCCAGAATTTAAAACCACACCCATTCCTCAGAAACTCACCATGCACTTGAACAAAAGAACACTGCGGAAATGCTTCATTTACCTAGCTAACACCAACAGTAAATGGGCTGTTTTCTGTGAAAGTACATCTTCCAAATAATTAAATGATATTTTTATTTTAACCCATTTGGTGTAACCGCATCGCATTTTAGCATTTCGGCAACAACTGCCATACTTCCCTACCTTTTGGATTTGCAGGAACCCTTACTAATTTCTTCTTTGTGAAAACAAATTCTCATTAGTTACCAGCTCCCACCCAGCAGTGGTGCTGGGGCTACCTGCTATTCCCTGCTGTCTGTGTTCAGAGAGCCCTGCTCTGGACGGCCCCCTGAACCCCACTGTCCAGACACCTTCTGTCCCCCTCCCGGCTTAATTTTTTTCTCTTCATCACTGCCTAGCGTGCTCATCTTTAACATGCTGTGTCTTTGCTTTATTTTTATCCTGTTTATTACCTGTCTCTGCCAGGAAGGCAGAATTTTTTGTCTCTTCTCTTCACTGCTGAGTCCCCCTTGCCCCGAGCAGCACCTTGCACACGATTGTTTAATAAATGGCTGAAGACCTCAGGCTCCAAGAGTGGGTGATTGGTGAGAGCACAGAGGAGGACAGTGGATTGGACTGCGGACGTGGTGATGGGGCTGGGCTGTGGAGGAAGAGAAGGCCGGGGAGGTAACAAAAGATGAGCTCCTTGAGATGAGGGCCTGCCTCGTGGGCACCAGGAGTCCCTCGGCACCTGGCACCCAGCCAGGCCCCAGCAGCCCCTCACAAATGTTACCGAACGAATGAACACACTTACTTTCAGACTGGAGAAATCTGAAAAAGGAATGAGGAAAACCAATCAGTTGTTGATTTCAGTATCCTGTCACCTCGGGTTACCCAGAAGTCTGTCACTTGGGTGTCCCCTGGCCAGGCCACCCTTTTCTTTACTATTTAAGACCTCAAGTTTTGTGCAGCACAAGCTGTGGGAAGCTAGTGACCTCCCCAAAGGATCTCAGTAAATCCCCAGGCCCCTGCTCTCTGAGTCACC